ATTTGCTGAACCAGAAGACTGTGGGCGGGGAGGCATTGCAAGAAACACAGCCGGAAGGGAGTGGTGTAGGTGGGGGTCGCACGAAGGTTCGGTGCTGTGGTGTCTGCGGCAAGCCTGGCCATAACGCACGCACTTGCCAGGAGGCTGGAGAACCGTCTGATTCAGCTGTTTCTGATGTCATTATAGTTGGTTCCTAGTGTTGGTATGTTGCAATTGAGGATAGTTGTTATAGGGTAGGTAAAAGTGCGGCGCTCGCTTATCCGCGGCGCTCGCTTATCAAACACGTTAGCTAAACATTTAAGTCACCTGGCACTCAAGGAATAAGAAGCAGCTACCGGTGCGTGTAACATTAAGACTGGATCCCAGATGTGACTCTTTTTGGCCATCGTTTGCATTTTCCTTCTTACCGGCAACACTGGGTCCGGACTCCATGGGCACTACGGATTACTGACCCTGAGTGGGGACGCCAACCAAGCTCTTCGCGAAGACACATTCTCAACCGGATACGCACAGGGAACCATGCCATTCAAACCGACTACGACAAGCCCCCTAGCGACCGCACCGCACTCACGGTCGCTGACGACGCGATCCAGCCCACCGAAGATGATGGCTATGCCTCGGAAACGTCAAGCAGTTCCTCCGAGCTCCCCGATAACCTGATACGTGCCGAAAACGACCTTCTTATCCCAGAATCGGCTCAGATTGACCGCATCTTCCACAACAGTCGCGCGACTTGGGCTCGTTTTGCCAAGCTCGCCGACTCGATTCTTCGATATGCCTTTGCCGCCGAGCTCGCAAATCCCGGCATCATGTTGTAGACTTAGTACATTCCTGCGCTTCCTAACAATCTCCCCAGTAAGGGCTACATTACCGGCCGACCGTTGTGGCACGTGCCGGATCCAGAGCTGGATGATGGCTCGGGCGACTGGCTCTGCGCTATTCTCTCGCCGAAGCTGGGTTGGTTGGTGGCTGGGGCGCACTTCCCTCCGTGGCCGCCAATTGTTCTGGCGATACGCGCTTCGTGGTCCTTACCGCCAAACGGCCCGGCACCCTTTTGCTTGGAGGAACCCCCGCGAAATTCCGCAGAAGCCATGGAACTCCTGATTGAGTTTTGCCGTCCGTTTGAACTATCGCGCCTAGGCACAGACGCAATGGTCAGGAGTCCGAGATATTGCCGCCGACGGCCGCATGCTTGGCCGCTCTAGCCCTCCCGTTCTCTCGCCCTGACGGCCTACAGTCACAGTTCCTTGCTCTTTTGCTCGGGAGACCCAGCATCGACAGCGCCACATCCGCATCCGAGTGTACAGCCAGCAGTATCCGCCAGTACGTCGCAGACCTCCCATATTACATGACGCTGAGCATGGACCCGCGGTCCATTGCGTTTGTCATCTGGAGCATCTTTTGGCAGCCCAATCTCAAATGTCATCTTGTTAGCCCCTGGCTGAGCTCGGCCCTTGTGGTCATCAAGCCGAGCATCACGCAACTCGCCAAGGTGTTCTCGCTCCGTCGGCCACAGGGCTCGTTCTGTTGGCTCAGTATGTTCCTCCTGGCCGACTTCACCGTCCCGGACCGCATGGCTCGTTTTCTGCAAACACTTAAGAGCAATGGGGCTACGGTTCGAGCGCGCTGCCGGATTTTGCCATGGCTGCCTGGACTCTGCCTGTTCTCCCCCTGATTGCTGCCAGATGCGATGTGTTCAAACATCGCGTTTATTCCAGCGCTCCCAACAAATCCAGCTCCAGATAGCCGAGTCGGCGCTCTCAGCCCTGGCGCTGCTCATGATCGCCACGCTCGCCTTATCAGCATGACTTGCCAATTGCGTCGTAGCGGCAGGGTTCAGGGTAAGAGGCAACCACGTCTTCACGCGTCTTGCGCACTGACGCTTTTTCGATCCTTTCCAGGCCGCCATTTCCATACGTGCTGCGCTTCTGACAAGGCTGCTGCCAGTTTGCGTATCGGATGCTTTGTATAAGTTGAAAGATGACGGGCGGCAAAATGAGCTACCAAAACATGTTTGAGCACCACATCTCCCTACACTGTTGTCCACTGAGCCCTTATCACTGGTTTAAACCAAAGTCTGGCCATCAAACTACAGCATAGATTATGTCGTCTACCGATAAGCTCACCGTCCTCATTACCGGATGCTCCCCAGGCGGAATGGGCGCAGCTCTGGCCGTCGCCTTCCACAGCGCCGGACATAACGTTTACGCCACAGCACGGAACACATCCAAGCTATCCCCTTTTGCCGAGCAGGGTATCCAAACGCTCCCCTTGGACGTGACCTCCGCGCCCTCAGTCGCATCCGCGGTCGCGTCCGTGACTGCCTCTCTCCCCGCCACCAAAGGCCTCGACATCCTCATCAACAACGCCGCAGGCAACCACACCATGCCTCTCGCCGACGCCTCCCTCCCGGCAGCGCGTGAGCTCTTCGATCTAAACGTCTGGGCCCAGCTCGCCGTCACACAAGCCTTCCTCCCGCTGCTCCTGCGCTCCACCACACCAGCCTCAGCCTTCCGCCCCCTAATCGTAAACCACACCTCGGTCGGCTCCGTCGCCGCCCTCCCATTCCAGGGCATCTACAACGCCTCCAAAGCCGCCCTCGCCATGCTCACCGCCACGCTGCGCATGGAGCTCGCGCCGTTCGACATCCGCGTCATCGACCTCAAGACAGCCGGCGTCAAGACCAACATTATCAGTAATAGCAACTTCAACGACAGTACCCGCGCCGACAGATTGCCCGAGGACTCGATCTACGCGCCGGCTCGCGAGCTGGTGGAGCGCGCCATGAGCCAGGAGGCGCTGCGGGAGCGGGGCGTGACACCGGAGCAGTGGGCGGGCGAGGTGGTGGGATTGTTGCTGGGGCGGAACCCGCCGGCGGTGATTTGGCGTGGGGAGAGTGCTTTGCTGGCGAGGGTGGCGACGGCGGTGCCGTGTGGGTTGATGGAAGGGGTGGTGGGGAAGTTGACGGGGTTGGATGAGGTGGAGGGGGTTATTAGGGGGGCGAGGGGGTGAGTGTTGTGGTACCCTTGAAAACATCGTTTCATAGTAAACCTGTAGTAAACCGGACTATCTCCCCTTTTGGCACTTAGTACCTGATGTGAATCTCTACTTCTGCCTTGTCTTCAACCTTGCTGTACTATATCCTGATCCTCGTCCAGCTCCGAGTTCCAATCGTAGTCCTAATCCTCTAGCCCCGCCGAACCGTCAGACTACCGTCCTATCACTCGTCATCGACGTCCAGCACAGTAATAGTCCTCGTTACGCGCCTTATCCTGGTAGGTGTAAGAACAAGGCACGGAGACGTTCCTAGAGAGAAGGTTGTTTTCTGACTATCCTAGCGGGACCTGCAACGATCGCTAAGTTAAAGTTAACGTTAGTTGGTTCTTAACGTTAATATACGTAGTTATCACAATTGAGGATGACGTTAGTTGATGTCGGGCGGTAAAAAAAATGCACACTCGCTTACAATATACACACGCTTATAGTGTACGTTGGATGGTGTGCTAAAAACTAAGGTATGATATCTTGTGAACCTGTCAGCAATCATTGCAGATGTATAAAAACTGCCAGCGAACCCAGCAAGTGACGCTTCGGCCATTGCAAGATTATACTTTGCCACATGCTGTTAATGGATTGAAGAGTGAACATTCCACTATCACCTTGCGGCAATCCTTGATTATCTAAGGGCAGGTTCGGGGCTGCCGAGTCTTCCACCGCCAGGAGCAAGGGGCATCAAGTAAGCCCCATATAATACGTTCACTTGTTGCCAGTCATGTGAACATAAATACCTGAGCCTGTCCGACTGGCTCAATCGGCATAGCGTGAGAAGCTTGGACAGTGAAACTTAAAGAGAGTTTATCTCAAGTTGCGGGTTTGGCCCCCGCTTTGCGCTCAATCCCCATCAAAAAGATCAAGATTTGTCTTTGCTCGTAATCAGTTCGCACCACTGCCCATTTTAACACTGATGTTCCAAGAAAAACCCCTGGTCTACACTACCGCTCATGACTTGGGCTTCAGGGGCAGCACCGGCCACTCATAGTCCCTCGTAAACGTCGTTTGGAACGACCAAGTCCCATGCTCAACCACCTCCCGTCTCTCAACATGATCCATCGTGGGCAGCACCACCTCGACTGTCGTGCCATACGGCACACGCACACTCAGCAGCATTTCTTCGACCCCCTCACTACCACCGACGACAGATCTCGTGCTCCACCGGCACGACACAGTTCCCCTCGGCGTCTCATGCGAAGCGGACGCACTGGTGAACCTCGCTCCAACAGCAGGCTCAACGTGGCACCGCGTCCAGCCAGGATTCAGCCTCCGCAGGCCCGCAACGCGCTCATACAGAAACTTCGCGACAGCACCAAAGGCATAGTGGTTAAACGACGTCATCTCGCCCGGGTTGATGCTCCCGTCGGGTAGCATGCTGTCCCAACGCTCCCACACGGTTGTGGCGCCCATGGTGACGGGGTACAGCCACGACGGGCAGCCCGTTTCGAGCAGCGCGGCAAAGGCTACCTGCAGGTGGCCCGTCGCCGCCAGCGCCTCGCACAGGAAGGGGGTGCCCGCGAAGCCGGTGCCGATGCGAAAGTTGTTTTTGCGAACGAGCTCGGCCAGGCGGGCGCCGGCGCGGGGGATTTGGGAGGGGTGCAAAATGTCTAAGCAGATGGCTAGCGCGTAAGCGGCTTGTGTGTCGGAGACGATGCGGCCGTTGGGTGTTACGTATTCCTGGTGGAACTCGGCGCGGGCGGCGGCTGCTTCGAGCGTGAAGCGTTTGTGTTCCGGTGCGCGGCCGAGGAGGTTTGATATCTTGGCCATGACATCCAGGCTCTGGATGAGGAACATGTTGGCCACCATCTTCGCGTCCGTGGCAGACTTCCAGGGCTGGTCTGGTGGTGCTGCAGGATCGAGCCAGTCCTACATTAGAAGGGACGGAATTTAGTTTTAAACGATCGTTGGTCTCAGATCACGGGGGGCACTCACCCCCAACTGGAATACAGTGGTATCCCAAAGGTGTGTTAGACCCGACTTGTTCCGCGGCAGCACCCTCATCCACTCCAGCATGCTATTGTACTGCTGAGCAAGGATGCTCAAGTCGCCAGTCTCTTGATACAGGGCCCAAGGGGCCAAGACCGTGACGTCGTGCCATATTGCGCATGGGACTTTCCGACACCATACGGGATCGGGAAGCGTGGCGTTGGGGCTCACCATGGGCGGCACTCCGCCAAGGACGCGTTGGTCGTGCTCGACGTCGATGAGCCAGTTCTTGAGCAGGTTGAAGCAGTCGTATATCAACACAGCCGTGGGTGCAAAAAGGGCGAGATCGCCGGTCCATCCTAGTCTCTCATCGCGCTGAGGGCAGTCGGTCGGGACCGAGAAGAAGTTCCCTCTCATGCCCCAGCAAACGTTGTGATACAGCTTGTTCAGCAATTGCTCCGAACACGCAAAGTCGCCAGCGCTCTTCATGTCGCTGTGGCACACTACGGCCTCGATCGACGCCAAATCCAAGGTGCCGGGCCAGCCATCCACCTGAACGTACCGAAATCCGTGGAAGGTGAACCGTGGTTCGTAGTCTTCACCTTCCGGCGCACCCTTGAGCGTGTACTCGTCTGTAGCCTTACAGAGCCGTAGTGGACGGGTTCCCAGTTCGCCGTTCTCCAGGACCTCGGCGTGAGACAATGTGATCTTGCTCTGGCGGGCGCCACTAATCCCCTTGACCCGGACGTAGCCTACCAGGTTCTGCCCAAAATCCACGATGGTTCTGCCCGAAGGGGAGAGTATTTTCTGGACCGGTTGAAGGGTTTCGATACGCCGGACGGGCTCGCCAAAGCCGGCCGTCAGTCGGACAGCGTCGGGGAGTGGCGGCAGGACAAGGACAGACCCCCAACCGGCTTGAAACCCGCTCGCTGCACATGACCACAGCGGCACTTCCATCGTGGCGTCATATTTCTCGCCGTCGTAGATCTCGGCCATCCGGATGGGACCCTTAATCACAGTCCAAGAGTCATCCGTGCATACCGTCTGGATTCGGCCATCCGAGTAGGTGATTTCGAGCTGCGCCATCAGTGCTGGATAAGGGCCCCAAATGTTTCGATGGCCACCTTCGAAGCCTATCCGTCCGCAGAACCATCCTTCGGCAACCCGAACTCCCAGACAGTTAGTGCCATGAGACAAGGCACCGGTGACGTCGTAGGTCTGGTACTGAAGTCGGCCATCGTAAGCCGTCCAGCCGGGTGGAAGGAAGGCATCCCCGATGCGGGAACCGTTGATCTCAGCTTCGTAGACTCCTTGTGTCGTGATGTAGAGACGCGCTTTGTCGATCGGTTCCTCCACCATGAATGTCTTTCTGAAGAGTTGCTCGGGCTCCGAGCATGATGTGGACGGTGCCCACGGGGCGGTGATGCGCTGCGCGGTCCAGTCGACGGTGCGGTTGAGCAAGCCGACCTCGAGACGAGCGGGCTCACTCCAATCCGTGAGGACGTCATGTTCATCCCACACCCTCACCCGCACTGATATCCTCTGGCGGGACTGTAGCGGCTCGTCGAACGGCCACGGGACGAGGGTGCTGAGCGTGGACTTGTGCTTGACGATAGACAAGTCAGTGTACCGAGCCCACACGTGTTGCACCGATAGCTCGACCTCGTATCCTTGCTGACGGAAACCGCTGGGAGCATTGATCAGCTTCCACGACAGGCGCGGCTCGGTCTCGTCCACTCCCAAGGTGTTGGGTTCGTGATAATGCTCGAACTGAACGTTTGCCACTGTCGTCATGGCGGTGCACCGTGGTTGGTTGGCCTAGGGATAAGAGTTCAGATCTCAGAACGGGACAATGAGTGCGGTGTACAGGGCTCGAGAGGTGTCAACTGGTGGCGTCGAGGCCAGTAGGCTGGTGCGGGTGGTTCAATGTGAAAAGGGGAATCCGGACTGGCAGACGTGAGCCTCGCAGTGAGTTATGCCGAGCACTATGGGGCTCGCTGCACACTGTCCCCGCTGGGGCTCAGTGACCCACCCCCTCCCTCCTCTTACCAGTCCAGCATCCACAGTTCTTAACTTGCAGACAACAACCCGTTGGAGCCGGATTTGGATCCCGCCGAATCGAAAGCATGATACGAATGAGGAGCATGTGGGGAATACCTGGGTCTGACGAGACTGCACCTTTACATGTACTCCCGGTGGTCCCGGGCCCCTCCATGTTTTCACTACAACCCTAGGCCAAGACGGTCCGCAGCGCCCGAACGTTCTCACTGTCCTTGACTTCATCTCCTCTACCGCGGTGGCATAATCTACAACTACCCAAGTCACAGTACCTGTCTGTTGCTTGCTGCCCGCCATGTCCCAGGAGGCATCCATGTTCTCGGCTGCCGACGTTGCCGTCACCTACAGTCACTCCCTCGGCCACGATCTGCCTGTCGAAGAACTCCGGCTCCCCGAGGACTTCGGCTGGGGGGCCGCCACGGCAGCCTACCAGATCGAGGGGGCCGCGTCGCAAGATGGGAAGGGCAAGTCCGTCTGGGACACGTACTCGCACCTTCAGCCGTCCCGCACCAACGGCCAGCACGCCGACGTCAGCTGCGATCACTACAACCGCATGCCCGAAGACGTGGACCTGATGGCTTCCCTCGGCATTGAAGTGTACCGCTTCTCCATCTCGTGGTCTCGCGTCATCCCCCTTGGAGGACGCAATGACCCCGTTAACGAAAAGGGCCTCGCCTTCTACAACGACCTCATCAACCGTCTTGTTGCCCGCGGCATTAAGCCCGTAGTCACGCTGTACCACTGGGACACGCCACAGGCCCTGTACGACCGCTACGGCGGCCTGCTCGACACGGCCGAGTTCCGCGCCGACTTTGCGCGATATGCGCGACTGTGCTTTACCCAGTTTGGCGACCGCGTCCGGAAATGGGTGACGTTCAACGAGCCGTACATCACATCCATCTTTGCCCATCTCAACGGCACGCTGGCGCCAGGCCACTGCCGCGAAGCTGGCACCGACACGAAGACGGAGCCGTGGCGCGTCGGCCACACCATCCTGCTGTCCCACACCGATGTCGTGCTCATGTACGCCTGCGAGTTCCAGCCGTCGCAGAAGGGCGACATCTCCATCGTGCTAAACGGCCACTTCTACGAGCCCTTCGACGCCGGTAGCCCCGCTGACCGCGCCGCCGCCAAGCGCCGCATGGTGTTTTACATCGGCTGGTTCGGCGACCCGGTGTTCCTGGGCAGGGACTACCCCGCCGAGATGCGCTCCTATCTCGGCTCGCGGCTGCCCGAGTTCATGCCTGAGGAGCGTGACCTCCTCCGGCAGGCCGCCCCGCTCAACGCCTTCTACGGCATGAACCACTACTCGACCAAGTACGCTCGGAAGCTGAGCGAGCCGCCGGCCGAGGACGACTGGACGGGTAATATTGAGGAATCGTCGGTCAATAGCGAAGGAAAGGAGGTCGGTCCGGCCTCGGCAATGGGCTGGTTGCGTGTGGCGCCAGAAGGGTTCCGGAAGCTCCTCGGTTGGGTTTGGGAACGGTACCATGTGCCCATCATCGTCACCGAAAATGGCTGCCCGTGTGTTGGAGAGGACGACCTGGCGACGGCAGTCGACGACAAGTTCCGCCAGCGGTATCTTGGTCTGTATCTCGACGCCATTTCCCGGGCCATTTACGAAGATGGGGTTGCGGTTAAGGGGTACTATGTGTGGAGCTTGATGGACAACTACGGTGAGTGCTATTTCTCTGGTTGCCCTTTTTTCTGCAGTGTTGCTAAAGCTGTCATTGCTCAGAATGGTCTGCTGGTTATGGGCCCCGCTACGGAATAGTTCATGTGGACTACGAAACGCTGAAGAGGACGCCTAAGAACTCGGCGTTGTACCTCAGGGACACCTTCAAGAGGCGCAGGGGAGTCTCTTCGTGATGGTGTTAGTATGGCGGGGAATGAGTACCGTACATTCAAGCTCCAGATACCAGTGTCCTAGATACAACTGCATACTACCTCAGGAGAACCGCAAACTTCAATGCTGTAATCGGATCAGTGCCCTGTCATAATCAGAGGCAAGCCAACACCTGTCATCTGCCGCGTGCTTCAAAGTTCCGGTGAGACCGTCGCTGGAGCCAAGGTCAAGGAATGAACAGTAAACTTTCGGTGCGCCCACGTGCAAATTCCCGAACTCTCACCTCATCTCGGCATGGCATGGCCACATGATCCCGACTGTCGGTGTATTGCATGTGCAGACACCGAGCTACTAGGCCTGAGAACATATCCAAGGCATGTACTAATGGCAATTCGGTATGACTTGTCCCGGGAAAACTGTCTTGCTCTCGCCTCCCCCTCCAAATTCTCTCCCCCCACCTGTGTTGCTGTGGTCGTCGGAAAACACGTCGGGAAACCATCACATGGGAACTTTGCCGGCGCTAATGCAATGCGACATGGACATGGTGCTTTCCGCTCTGTCATGGCATGCACATATGTTCCGAAGCTGAAGTATGCCTATGTTGACAGCGATTGGTTGGGGCCATGGGACGCAACATGCAACCACATCGAGGCGAAGCACTTCCAGCCCGTCGGTTCATCACGGTCCTGGTTTCAGTGGCTTGGCATCTTGATGCCGAGTTGAAGCAGATGACAGAAAACACCGGGCAACGGTCAACTCAGAGTTTCATGTGGGTTTTCAAGTTGCTTCTGTGATCTATATGATCCGTCCCGTGGGTGTCTCCGCTAACAGTTGAGACCAAAATCCTACGACGGCGCGCCACCTATTCACTTTTCCCTTGCCCATTCACGATCAGCAAGGAAACGTCTCTATGTGCCTTGGATCAGTATTTGACCGCAGAAGGCAGAGGAAAACCTGAAGTAACAGCTCTGCTTTACCTTCCAGCAATCGTCCGGTCGTTGGGTTAGCAGCATCTGAAGCTGAGCTGCTCTGGGTTTCGCTCACACCGTGACCTCTCTCATCTTGACACTCCTCTGAGCCCGCGGTATTTGCACTCGGGGGGTGTGAAGTGCAAGCTGGCTTGAGTATACCATAATACTTGTACTTAAGCCTGCCAGACATCTGCGCGTCTTAGTGACCAGAATCTTAAGATCATAAACCCGGCTCGGGACCTGCATGTGTTCAGGGAAGAGAGCCCAATCCAACCGTACGAAGATTCCTCCCAACCCTTAAACGCGATTCCTGACCGAACCATAGCAAAATGGGAACATGCGGGTCGTCTTATTCCTCGGCTTGTTCCGCCTTTTGCTGCTTGAGGAGACGCTGGGTGGCAGTCTCGGTCTTGTGGAACCGCCACGGCTTAATCTTCCGCTCAAACAACTCGTCAAGCTCGGCAGCGGAGCGACTAAACAGGAGGCATCACCAGGTTAGCCCTTGGGTTGCATCAAGATCCGCAGACATCATGACGAGATGTGCCAGAGGTGTCGACGTGAACTTACCGGGCAGTTTCGGGAATCAGCAGCCACATGCCGACCATGAAGGGAAGACCGACACCGGCGTAGAACCAGCCGGTCTTGAGACCCCAGTTCCACTGGTTCTGGTTGACCATGTAGGGCGTCAGCTGGCCCATGGCCACGCCGGCAACGCAAGTGCATGCAGCACCGAACCCGGCCGTGTACGGCCGGAGTCGCTGCGACGAGATTTCACCGATGAAGCCCCATCCGGCCGCTCCGTTGGCTGTCATACCCATATCTAAATTTGAATGTCAGCATAGCTGTTCAGTTTCCCTAACGGATCACACTCACTCCAGAAGCATGCAAAGAGTACGAGCACGTAGTTGGTGGCTTCGACGCGCGTTGTCACGCCCAAGATGCCGATGATGACGCAGCACAACCACATAACGGTCGTCGCGGTGCACGCGATCCATCTCCGGCCGACCTGGTCCGCCAGGCCGACCACGACGATGATGGTGGCGATGTTGATGGACGACGTGATGCACTTGATCATGAAGGGATCCGGCAGGCCGGCTTGCTGGAAGAAGTAGGTGCCGAACGTGCTGAAGAGGGTGAGGCCAATGAACTGCTGCGACAGGTTCGTCCAGAGGGCGATGACGGTCCGGAAGCCGTCGACGCCGCGGAAGATGGAATACCAAGGCACGCGTTTCTGTTCGGCCGCCACGGCCTCCTCGTGCTCAGCCGCCAGGACCATGATTTCGAGCTGCTTATCCAAGTCGAAGCCGCGGACGCCGCGATGGAGCTTCCTGAGCTCGCGCTTGGCCCTCGCCATGTCGCCGCGTGTGACGCACCAGGCTGGGGACTCCGGGAGGAAGACGTAGATGACCAGCATGAGGCCAATTTGGGCCCACTGCGTGTAGATGGGCGTGAGGTACTCGTCGGGATGCTGACGGTTCATGGTCTGCATGGCAATGTAGGCGAAGAAGGTGCCCACGGTCCACCAAAGGCTGTAGAGCATCAACAGGCCGCCACGGATGCGCACGGGGGCGACCTCTGATATATAGGTCGGCAGCGTGGACTGCATGCAGCCGACACCGATGCCGGCGAGCAGCTTGGCGACGAGCCACACCTGCCAGTCCCTGGCAAGACACTCGGCGATGATGCTGCACGCCAGGATGAACCAGTAGGTATACATGGCGACCTTGCGTCCGTAGCGGCTCGAGATGAACGAGAGGGACACCATGCCGACGATCTGACCCACAGACTGGATGGAGCTCCAGCCAGCGAGGACGGGCGATGCGAGCACTCGGCTTCCATCGGCGGTGGTCTGCGTAGCAAACTGGCGGATGAAGCCCTTGTTGGCGACGATACCCGAGTTCATGCTGGAGAAAGAGTTGTCAGTCTCAAATCCCCTCCGAAGCAAAGCGTGGGAGAAAGCCCCATCATGGTCAACTTACCCGATCTGATAGCCATCTGTCGCGGCGCTGAAGGCGGCGAAGAAGCACACGGCAGTGCTCACCTTGAACGTCATGACCGTCTCCCACAGGGTCAGGGTCTCGTATCCCGTCGTGGCCTGGCCTCTGACGGCCGCGTCCGCCGCTGCATCCTTGGACGTCATGTCGACGCCGGTCGTGTCTTCCACCCAGTCAACCGCATCGGGCCGCCCTACCTCATTTCTGTTCGCCTTCTCGTCGTGTCCCATAGCTCAAGAAATGAGTCAAGGAAGAGAACGCTGACAATGTAGGTGACCAAGAAGAAGTGGTGGATGCGAAGGTGCAAGGGTGTATACTGTGCTGTGGGTGGAAATAGGCAAGACGCCCAAGTCAACTGAATCGAGTCCTTGAGACGATCCAGTTCAGGTCGATTGCAATGGACCGAGAGCGCCACCCTTTTGAAGGAGCAGCCTTCGGGATGTCATGGAATTGGAATCATGGATTGCCGCCAGTAGCTGTTCCGATCGGTGTAAGACAACCCGGCAGTCACACCGAGAGGTTGGGAGCCCATTGACGATAGACAAGTCAGGTTATTGCTCGGAACACATGTTAAACTTCGAGCACCAACATGGCTCGTTCCAGGGACGAGGACCTAGACCTTCATCACCGGACACAACAGATTCTGTCGAACAGGCAGACCCTCCTCCCCCTTGCAATCGCGGGGAAGTGAGCCCCAATCATTGGCCCAATGCCGTCTGAGAATAGCTAGCGCGCGAGGTGGGGGATGCGGGGAAGTTCTCCGACGGGTTTCCCGACGTCGAGATTTTCACAAGCTTCAGGGCACCACCTGTCTGCAGAAATCCTTCAGAAGCACCCCGCAATTCTTTGTGGGGAAGGTGAACGATCAGACAATCCGCGAGATCCGGGGTACGATTCTCAGTATGCAGGCCAGGACACCACACGAATACGCGTATTGAGGCAGCCTCTTGGATGGTCTGGGTCACGACTGGGTTCGGACGAACTTGGTCTCCTCGCAGCTCGCGACCCTCAACACCGACGACACGGAAACATAAGGTCCACGGTGATGAGACGTTGCTGGAAGATAAAACAGGCTTTGTTGCCCGGGTATATCGGTGCGTTTTCATGATGCTTTCTCCAGGCCTCTCCCGGTGAATCGCGTCTGGTCACCTCCACCATGCGCATTCTTCGCAGTCTTCTCTCCGTCATTACCATTGCCGTCGCGGCTTCCGGTCAAGACGTCGACGCGGCATCGACATCCCAAAGGCCTCCAAGGCCGGAGCCTATTGATGTGGTTGAGCTTCCCCTGCCACCCGTTGCACCGAGCCGCGCCGAGGGGGCCTGTACGCCTCTCATCAACCCGCGGCGGACCGGGTGCATCGGTATCGAGACTCTCAGCTTCCAGGCCGGTGATTTCACCCCGGACGGGAACCACGTCATTGTCAACGTCGAGTTTGTCGGCGCGCCCGCGGCCCCCAACCCGGCCAGCATCTACGCGGGCGAGCAGCTGATCCTCATCAAGGCTGACGGCACCACCTTCCCCAACGGCGATCCATGGAAGTGCCTCAGCTGCGGCGTACCCCCTGATCAGGCCCGGTCGCTCGACCCAGAGAGGGACTATCCCCACGTGTTCCGGAGCGGAAAGAAGGCTCTCTGGGGCCACAATATCCTCGACTGTGGCGGAGTCGACTTGGCCAGCGACGGGTGCACTGCGAATCGGACACACATCTATCCAATCCACTGGCCCATCACTGTGGATGGTTCCGGCCGGGGCGGCGTCCCCCGTGAGCTGCGCCTGCACCCTGACGACGTGCACATGGGCTGGAGCTCGTTCACCGCGAACGGCGGCCAGTTCTGCTACTTTGGCCGCCTCCAGTTCAACGCTAATCCCACCGTGGGCGAGCCTCTTGCTCCTCGCTACGACCTCGTCAACGTGAGCCTGTTGGACGCTCGGGACGAAAAGCTGAGAGCACCCATCGCGGCTGAGGGCGGCGAGCTGCGCGTCAACCGCGCTGCCATCACGGTGGGCGAACTCCGTGGTTTCAGCGGCGCCGGCGACGAGATTCTCTACATTGGTGCGCCGTGGGAGGCCAACAACATTGACGTACTTGCCGTCCACGTCGTGACGGGAGCTGTGCGGCGTCTCACCAGCCACCCGGACTACACCGACCCCGTCGCCTTCTCCCCCGACAACAAGTGGTTTGTCGCAATGGACACGCGCGTGTCCCAGCGGCAGATGTGGATGTCAGGCATGCGCTGGCTGCCCCCGCTGGTCGACATCGTCGCCGTGACGGCCGCATCCTCCACGCGCAACAACCACGAGCGCCGATTCTTCCAGCCCATTCTCATCGACCGCTACGGAGACCGCGGCGACTACTTCGGCCAGCAAGTCAACGCGGGCGGCGACGGAAGCAACGGCAGCGCCAACGACCCGAACTGGAACGGCAGAGCCGATCCCGCCTTCTCCCATGACGGCACCAAGATCGTCTACTGGCAGGCGCTGGTGGTCCCGCCGGCCTGCGGCGGCGCCAACCCCCTGCCCTGCCCGGTCTCGACAGCCGAAGGCGGCCGGACATACCGCGTCATGCTCGCCCGACTCACCAGTCGGAAACCAGGCAAGCCGGTCAAGGTCTTTGACGTTCCGGATTACATCCCCTGGGCCACGCCATTCCCGCCGGGCTCTACGCTCCCCGAATCGCCGTACAGCTTGCTGCCCGGCAACTACACCATCCGCGGTCGCGTCTCCGGGGACGCCGACGTGGTCCTCGGTGAAGACCCAGTGATTGCCGGCCGCATCGGGTCAGTCTCGGTTACGTACCAGAACTATTCCGACGAACGCGGCTACGTCGTGAACGGCCACGAGCAAGTCTCGGTCGAGATTAAGCTCCCTGACGTCTGGAATAACCTGGTCCACTGGTACTCGGACATTGTGCAGACGGGCGTGGTCCGGGCGACCAAGAAGACGAGCCCTGGCGGGTTCCATCTCGAGATCCATGCTGTGACCAACGTGTTTCAGGCAAATGGCACGTTGACGACGACGATCAACGGGGTGGAGTACAAGCAGCCGGCAAATGGAACTTGAGAAGTTGCGGCGAGAATATGTGACAGCATGCCTTGACGCTGAATCTGTACTTAGGTACTCAACCGACAAAGAGGGAGGATAGCAATCTACGTAGTCGGAACTGTGATCGGAAAGAAATTTCTCTCCCTCAAGGAACATAGGAAGTGGCTACCAATTTGACCAAGATGCCCGTCCGTTGCCTTTGGAAGTCGAAAGGGGGTGTGGTTAATGAGTCAACCCCTCGCAAACCATGAGAAATTGGAGAAATGCGGGGAAATGGCGTGGGGTGTGGAGATAAGCTGAGGTACTTCAGAGGTGATTGAGCGGTCCAGGCCTTGGCCTCGGGCGGCGCTGTCGAGGAAGCAAGCCGTCGCTACCATGTCCTTCCGGGTCTGCCGAATTTGCAAAGGACTTCAACCGCGAGAGGTCGCTGAGATTTGCCGTCTACCTGCTCGCTGCTCATATGAGACCCCTGTCAGCCTGTGTTGCTTGTCGGCGAGTGCTGTCCATCCGAGTCTTGTTGACCACTTTTTCCCTTTGGGTGCGGCTAACATTCCACAGCGATCGCCGCAAAAGATGTGACCGCCCCCGCCGAGGGACAAGCTGCAAGTTCTGCATTCGACGTGGTTTCCAGTGCACCGTCGAGCAGAGGTCAGACGCTCCAAGCTCCGAGGATGGATACGAACCTTTGGTCAGCGTCCGCCGCGATGGGGCCCCCCCTATTTCGGCGGCAGCCCTCATGCCTGATCAAGACCTGTGCAACGAGCTTGTCGACCTCTACTTCCGCTACATTCACATAACCTTTCACAACTTATTTCACTCACCGTCGTTCAAAGCCCGCGTTCGAGATGGGAGCATTCCCAAAGTCCTCCTCTTCGGTGTTTTTGGACTTGCAGCCCGCTTCTCCTCCCACCCATCCCTCGCCCACATCGACCCCAAACATCGAGGCCGGTCGTACGCCAAGGAATGCGAGAGGCTGCTCGACTTACACAAGACGTGTTTGACCACCATCCAAGCGTGCATTCTGCTGGGCGCGAACCAAGTTGTCGAGATGGACTCGGTAGCCGAGTCCATCTTTTACACCATCGCCTGCCGGATGGCTATGATACTCGATCTTCCCAACATGCCAGCGAAGTCGCTCATCGAGCAGGAAGTCAATTTACGAGGTAAGCCTTGGCCCTGCTTGTCCAATGTTATCCTTCTTGTCTGTACGCTTACGCGAGACAGTATGGTGGTCAGCCGTTGCAACCGACACGTGGTCGTCCACGGGATTGGGCCTCCCCAGGGCGATACAGCCACGCTATGACATTCCCATGCCCATGGACGAGCGTGTGTTTCTCCGCTTGACACCAGCAGAGCCGCCGGTCGTTTCTCAGCGGGGACTGGACCGCCGACTGCGTCCAGACTCGGATCTTTCGACGTCGCTAATAGCGCAGATGATCAAGCTCAATGGCATCCTGTACGAGATCAACGCTCTCAACGCCAAAGCCGCCTCCGATGACCGAGACTCGGCCAGAGTTCGAGACTCGTCCGTGGCGGACCTCTCTGCGGCCCTCGACTCCTGGCACACCGAGCTGCCACCGGACATGGAGTACACCCCAGACAACTTGCACTACTGGGCCGACCAGGGCTGCGGCACTGCGTTTGTCGTGCTGCACCTTAACTTCCACCACGCCGGCCAGCTGCTCTTCTACCGCTTCCTGCACAGCAGCCTCGCCCCCGAGAGCCACCAACCCCCTTCACCCAGCCCATTCTCCCACACCAACACCAACATCGGCCTCGGTATCAGCAGCAACAGCACTCACTACGCCGCGCGATGCCAATCCCACGCTGCTCACCTCTGCGACATCATGTACTCGGCAAGCGGCCAACAACCACCCGAAGACCCGAGAAACAATATCAACAACAACAAAACAAGCTCCAAGATAGAAGTCCGCCACCCACTAGCAGGCCACATGCTCGTCGTAGCCTCGTCCGTGCACACCTACTCCCTCCTCTTCAGCACCGACGAGGCCGAGATTGCTCGAGCCCGCGCTAGGCTGGAACGCAGTTTTGGCGTTGTTAGCCGGCTTCGTATCTACTGGCCGAGCCTGGCCGCGTCGTTTAGCCGGCTTGCGGCTGTGCATGCCGCGTGTCTGGGGCCTGCGGCGCTTCCTAATGGGTCCGGGGGGGGTAGTAGGGGTAGTGGTGATAGTGGTGATGGTGGGGATGGGAAGGGGGCTTTTCGGCTTGATCGGTGGATGGTGAGATTTTTGGTGGATTTTGCGAAGCCTGTGGATTTTGCTGAGAGGGAGCGGCCGTGAGAAACTTGAAGAAAGCGAATTCTCGGGGTAGTGGACCAAATGCGTGATCAATATGGTAGTACAAGGTCCCTAGGTTGGACTAATGTACAAGTGCATCCGCCCGTTTTATGAAATATGATAGCATCTGGCATGAGCCTCGACGACCCAGTAGCCTAGTGAACCCGACTTCGATGTGGTCTGCCCGTTGTGGTCATGCATATCATGATATCTGTGAGTATGACGGCTATTCTATCAATCACATGTAGCATGTGGCTCTGACACTGGACTTTCTGGAACTGCCAGATACTTATTTGACTTGACCTGACGACCTGCCCTTACTTCTTTGGGCTTTCCAGCTGCCAGCCGTCGATCAGGACATAGCCCGTTTTCGACGTCAGGATACCAACAGCGACAATGTTGTTGAGACAGTAGTATTTGTCGCTACCCGTCTCGAAAACCATGCGCAGGTGCAAGTGCCCGTCTGGCTGCGCCGGCCCAGAGGTGCGGATAAAGATATGCGCGCCATCGTCGGTCTGCAGCTGGTACCGAGTGTCGGCCGAGAAAGTTCCGTTCTTGTCGACCAAGCCCCAGTCAGCCCCCAGGTTGAGCACCTTGCCTGTAAGGGGCGTCTTAGCATGGTATTCATTGTGAGCTAGCGGAACAAGGTAGGGAGGCCGTGATTACCGGACAGTCGTGGCCCTGAAAAAGTTCCGCCAATGATGGGAATCACGACACGAGTGCCGTGCGGACCGCCGCCGACCTGGATGGACGGGCCCAACGTGCAGTTGAGCGAGTAAAGGTATGTCAAGCCCGGAGCTGCAGGGATCTTGGGCGATGCGAGGACCGATGTGGCACAGGCCGAGAGACATACCAGTGCCGTGAAGAAGGTGTAGAGAGAGGACATCTCGACGACAGGGTTATACCTGGTGGAGTGAGAATTCGAAAGGGTAAATAATACGAACTTCAACGATAACCTGGTTGTGGCCGAATTTGAAGGAACCAAAGTACCCAACGCACCTACGCTGGTCTGAAGCCCGATTAAATACCTGGTGCCAGGGTGCAAATGTAAACGCTGATGATCAGCCAACTTGCTCCACATCCCGTGTCGATCGTGGTTGCCGTGATCGAATCCCGGTGTGCTAGGATCTGGCAGGCAACTATGTGCCTGCGGGGAAATGGCACCTGGGATGGCCGAGACAAATGCCGTCTCCTCAGCGGCTGAATGCAACTTGGCGCAGTAGGCTTCCGAAGAATGCATTCGCAAGTTTCACTGAAAGCGGTAGGAGAGGCTGTGCGGTACCAAATTCCACCTTCCGAGGCCGAAAACCAAAAAGAGAAAAAAAAAAAAAAAAACACTGGTGACTGAAACCATACCTAGAGGAAATATGGCACGGCACCAGGGTCAGTTCTGTCCCAAAGCGGCAACGATATGTCGAGGTGAAGGCAGGGTTTTTCTTAGCTGCCACCGCTTCGGTCTTCCACCTCCCGCAAAGACCCCTCTCCCCCTTTCCAGCAAGCTTGACGATGGATCAATCAGTCCTTGCTCCGGATGGCGCAAATGGTTCTAAGCAGGCCCTGGAAGGGGCCAGAGGCAAGCTAACCATCCATCCAAGAACACTTCCCATTCGTGACCAACTTCGACTTGGCAGCGTCAATATGAACCTTATCGACAGGGGCGTTAGCGTCGCCGCTCTATACCTCTCACGCAATCCCTCGTAGCAGGCCCGATCATACACAGCCCAGAACCCGTCCTCGGTGTAGTAGGTATGTGCGTACAGCACCTTCCGGCCGCCCAGCTCTGCGAGCCTGTGCTTCAGCTCTCTGTTTTGCTGCACACGCTTCAACATCCCCCGACGCCGCTTCCCAGAGGCCAATGTTGATCATCGGCTGCGGCGGTCCATCGCTGCTTGGACCACGGTAGTATGGATGGAACGCAGGCAGATCGATCGCTCTCAGAGGGCAGAGCCATAGTGGCCAGATGTCCAGAACCTCTGCCGTGTAGTCGATGAACGCCTCGGCGGTGCTGTACGGCAGCGCAGGTCCTGCACTATCTGGCCAACGATACGTTGCTTCCCTGCAGCGCACGGTACAGCATCTGGGTGTGCATGAAGTCGTTCAGAACCCAGCGGGTAAGGCGGTTGAAAGGGACGAAGGGAGAGTAGGCAAACGCCTGGGCACCCATCCAGGAACCTCCCCGATTGTAGCGGAAGAGGTACTCGACCAAGACACATAGCCTGTGGGCGGGCAGGGATCCGGATTATCCGCGTTCGTTTCGAGCTCCAACTCCGCCCGTCGTTTGGCGTGAAGGTAGAACCAGTCGTCCCAGGAGCCAGTAAAGGTTTGGGGCCGTCGGCTGAGCTGGAGGTCGTCGGTCAGTTTTCCCGTCATATCAAGGCCGAGCGTCTTGGAGAAGAGGATCCCGTCCACTAGTCGTTTGCCGGGTCCTCGGTAGCATGCCGCACGGCCGTGAGCGTGTCCGCGACCGTCTTGTACCGATGATATGCGAGTTCCACAAACCGCCTTGCCGGGATGAGCCCGACCTCGAGTTTGGTGACGATGTCCAGGGTCCCGGCTGTTCCGCCCGCACCACGGAAGAGGTCCGGGTTTTCGGAGGGTGAAGTGTGAGCCATGTCTCCCGTGGCCAGAACCACTTTGATGGATTTGACGGTTTGGTCGAAGTAGCCGTACCGGAAGGAGCTCTTCTCACCTGCGCTGCCGGCAAAACCGCCACGAACCGTGGTGCCTGGGAACTCCATCACGACGGGTCGGACCAAGCCACGGGCAAGCGTGGCCTGCACAAACTTGTCCATGCACATTTGACTCAATCACGGCAGTATTTAAAGCCTCGCCGACTTTGAGCATGTTGTTGAGCGCGCGTTGATGTCGACCACCCTCCCTTCGTGCGCCGGCCCTGGTGCTGTTGGTCGAGCCATGAAACAGGCGAAACGGCTCGCGCTTGGAGAAAAAGGCCCGCACGGCAGCTGAAGTTCGGTTGATGGCGGTCTCATGAGAAGGAGCCATCGGAAGATCTTTGCTACAGTGATGGTCAAGGGACTGGGTGCAGAGCCGCGTGTCGGATTCCGCGACGAAACGCCAGTGGTGTGCGAATGCGACACCTCTTTGTAATCCTAATACTTCTTTGTATTCCTCTGTCATTTCTTCAACCCTCGCTACACTTTCCATTTTGACTGCGTTTGCAGCCTGTTTATCTATGTCTCAGTGCCCCTACGAAACGGATTTGGACGCTACATCCCTCCCTTCGTCCACCTCCCCTGAACCTCCCTTCTGAGACGAGAGCCGTCACCATGCAAACTGCGTGGGTTTGGGCTATTGCAAGCGCTGTCAGGCCGCGTCATGCCATGTCCTTTGTCGGCTCGGCAACCATCGCATCGCAAAGCACGATACAATCCTCCTCGGTTGACTATCAACAACTCAACCGCCCATGGAATGATCTTCTCAGGCAAAAGGACTATCAAACAGCATTAACCATGTTCCTTTGTTCTGGCAGGCAGTTTCCAAGCGCAATTGTTCCACCGTGGCCGCGACAAACACGACGGGAGCGCGATGACGACAATTCCTCCTTCAAGGTCGAAAAGCCGCGTTGAATGTGGGCTGCTTCCCTAAGGTTGGACATTGCTTCTTGAAGCGGTGCAAAGCTCCATCCGGAGAACTGGCGACTACCACTGATAGAACGCGACGTCCGCTTCGAACTTTGAAGGGGAATGGCCCCTGTCCCACCGCCAGATCTGGTACATGGATGGGTCTACTCGGCCAATGCCCGCGGGACACGCGACATACTTGTCAGCAGTCTGAGCACGATTTGGCATTGCACTTGAACGTCGCTCTGTCCCGATATTTCCTCCAGCCACGTTCGAGAGCGACGGCGTTGATGGCTGCTGAACAAGTTTCGGTGGCAGCTCTTTGCCATCTTCTTCCCGGAAGTCCTCGTTGCCACGGCGGCCGAGCAATGGCTTTCGGGCTGGCCAGTTGGCTCGCGCCTTTGCCCGGCTCGGATACCCGCAGTGGGCCATCCATCACGCCTTCTTTGCCGACATGGGAGGCATCCTTGTGGCCCCGCCTAACTGAACCCCTTTGCTGATTGACAACCAACAACTCGCAAATTTAGTGGCAAACCACTACCTCGAGCTCCCTGATCTTTTGACTGATGACATCAAATCGACCAACAAGGCGGATGGTTGGCCAGGGGGGTATCGATAGCCCAAATGGCATTGTTCTGCTGGTCTTGCGCTGCCCGGGGTCCATAGGGGCTCGGGTTCTGTACTCTCGAGGTCACCACTGTTGCGTACTCTCCGACACTGCCCATACCTTATTCTTCTAGTACTACAAGCCGCTCAACCCGGAAGCCCAGAGGATCTGCGGCATGGACACGAGAATTGCTCATTTCTGTGAGCAGTCGGGCGAGGTGGGACTAGACTATCTGCTCACGTACCGGCACACACCCCTCGACTTTGCCAGACCGCCGCCGGGTCCCAAGAGTCCCATCACGCCGTTCTGGCTCGGATTCGGCGCAGCCCTCAGGCCATCATCTGCAGGTCGAAATCATGATGGCAACGGCCGACCGCAATTGCCCGCCGAGACCTTTGCAGACAGCAGCGTGCATCCGCAACATCCGCAAGACGGAATCAGCATCGCCCTCATGGTCTACCCTCTCCACTTTCAAGTCCTTTACTTGGGGCTCCACGTTGGGTTCGCTTACATGTCCCCTTTCCCTTCCTGGACGGAATGGTACTTGTGGATGGGATCCACTGCAGTCGACTTTGGCCTCATCGCCGTTTATGTCCTGACCATCCCGGCCGGGACGTACTTTGCTCTCTTCCTCGGCCGCCAAGTGTACGATATGGGGGTAACCAACCTTCTGGAAGTGGCTTCTGCCCTCCCAGCGTGGGCCAAGCTCCTCATCCACGCACCGTTTGGTTTTGACTATGTGGTTGCGAGAGCAGCGGTGCTTGGCGAGTCCATCCTGCGCCAGCGGGCTCTCCCCCGAATCAGTCTACCGTGATGTTGATCGGGCAGGCATTTATGTCGCATGTGTAGAGCTTTTGTGGTTATTCTAGGATGGTGAGCACCTTGTAAATTGGCGTCTGATTCTAGAAGGCTGGACCAAGAATAGAGAAGGCTTCGTATGAGGCAGAACCGTAATCAGGTAATATGGGTATTCAGGTGTCACTTCCATGCGGTTTGAAGGCAAAAGTCACGTGCCTCTTCACCTTCACATCTTTTTATTGCCCCAACTCGTTTCCTGCAAACACCCGCAATTCTACCGGATCTTCGCCGAAAAATCGCCAGCGCCAACCGGAGGATCAACCGGACAAAGGGACGCGTCGAGCATGTCGAGTTATCCACCACCACCGTCATCGACAAGCGACAGCACAGCCGCCGACCCCGGTGCCGCGCAGCAAGGTGCAGACGCCGACAGCCACCAGACACATCATGCAGACATCCATTCCGATTTCGCCGCCCAGGCTGCGGCCGCCGCGGCTGCCGTCGCCGCTGCGCATCATGGTCTCCAAGCACTCCAGGCGGCAGTCGACGCTCCTGGGCCCGTTCCGGCGCCGAGTCCAATAACGCCGCAACATGCATCGCTTCCCAACAACTCCTTTCTTGCTGGCCCCGTCCTTCACTCCCCAGCGGGCGACCCGCCACATCCAAAGGCGACAAGGCTCCGGCGAGCCTGCGACATGTGCAGCCAGCGCAAGGTCAAGGTTTGCACACTTGGACTACATTTTTGTTTGTCCCGACGTCAGCTGATCATTATGTCCGCAGTGCGACGAGACACAGCCCTGCCGACCATGTCGTGACCTCGGAGTTGACTGCACCTTCAACCGCGCGATGAAACGACGCGGTCCGCCAAACAAGCACGCAGAGGCTGCAAAGGCCGCCAAACAGCAGCGGCTCGAGCCCAACATAAGCCCGGGACCTCACGGTGCAGCTGAGACGCTCATATCGATTTCCGGTGGCCAGGATATGCAACAGATACTAGATGCGGAGTCCATTGCACCCTGGCCCGTCCTCACGTTGCTTATCGACGACTTCTTTACATACATCCACCCGCTGACGCCGTTCCCTCACGAGCCCACCTTCCGCATGTCCTTCACCGCGCGAGAGGACCGCACCAACAGGAACTTTCTGGCGCTGCTGGCCAGTATGATCGCATGCTTGGTCGCGTCGTTTCCGAGGACCGCTCGACTGCACCTCAAAACGCAGCAAAACGCACTGCACATGTATCCGAAAGCCATCACTCTAATTGACCGATGCCGGACCGTCGCCCTTGAGGCTCGAGGGACTTCTTTCTATAGCAGGGAGGACATCACGGTGTACGACGCCGCGACGAGCTACTTCCTTGGCCTCGCTGCGGCCTACACCATGCAGTGGAAAATGTGTCGGCGCTTCATGGCCGAATCTATGGCCTTCATCCGGGAATTGGGCTACCACAAACCTCGGGATATGGGCTCCTCCATGTTTGGAGTAACCTACCGTGGCCCCTCTTTCAACCACGTCGAAGACCAGTTGGGCAAGCGCATCTTCTGGTGCATATTTCTCGGTCTACGGTCTGTGTCCATTGTATCATGTTGTCGAGCCTCTCCTTAGCTGACTTCTTATAGTTCCATGTACCAGCTCGGGACTCACCACAGCGACATTGTGCTCCCTCCGCCGACCCCGAGCGAACCGTACCCACAATTTCCCGTCGAGGTGGACGATCAGTACATCCTGCCCCACCAGATTCTCGGGCAGCCCGAAGGGATTGTCTCCCTTTTAACTGGTTTCAACCAGGGCATCAAAATCTACATGACCATGAACGGTCTCGTCAGCGTTGAGCTGTCCTACGGCATCTCCACGCTGCCGTTCCACGACCAAAAGGTTATGCTGGAGGAATCACTTCAGGCTGTGAAGCAAATGATGGAGGGCCTGCCGCGAGAGTTGACAATTGACCTTAACAGCGTACCAGGCAGTACTCGCAGCCATGCCCTCCCAAACCTCACCCCAGCATCTCAAACTAGCTTCCTCGACACCAGCAACAGCGGGCTACACTACTTCACCGGCTACCCATCCATGCATCAACAGCAACCCGCCCACAACTTCCGCCACACAGCCAGCGCCCACCCAGGCCGCCGGCTCCTCCAGTTCGACATCCAAAAAGCCAACATCTACGCCTCCCAATTAGCGACCCGCTCCTACTACGTCGAACGCTACCTGAACCTGCGCGACGCCCACCGCGAACACGCGCGTGCACAACAACAAAACGGACTCAACAACGCCGGTCCACCCGACCCATCCACCGCCGGCGGCGCCGCAACCAAACCCCTCGCCGACCAGATCGACCCCATCGACGCGAGCATGACGGCGGAGCGCGAGCTCATCGTCCAGCACCTGCTAACCGTGCTGACGTCCATCTCACAGCGCAGCATGGAGCCCAACGGCGCGTCGCTGATCAACAAGATCCGCCAGGTCGCGAGCACATTGGTGAACGATGCGCCCGAGCGCAAGGGCCCTGTTGCGGTGAAGGCACAGGAGTCGCTGAGCAAGTTTGTCGAGATCTTGATGAGGCTCGAGCGGATTCCGCCTGGCGGCGGGGGCGGTGAGGGCGGGGTGGTCAGTTTGGCGGCGGGGGAGGATGAGGAGCAGGAGTTGAGGGTCTGGGCGGACTTGAGGGAGCATCAGGTTCGGTTTTTACAGGGGGGTGGGTTTATGGGTCTGCCTTGATCTTCGGCGCATGTTGTTTCTGAGGGGCATTGAGGGTGGTTCTGGTTGGGGAGGAGGGGTGAGGTTTTCGCGTTGGCGTTGGGTGGGAAGTCTGGGCGGGTATGTTTCCTGCTGCTATATGTTGCATTGTCTAGTATATATCGTGGATATTTCTCGCTACAATATGACGGCGAGTCCGCTCGCGCCTAAGGTACTCCGAGCCCTTTGGCCCTGCTACGCATGGGCTCCTATCTCGTTTCTCGTCAACGGATGTCGAATCCATAACGGCGCTGGCAACGACATGACCATGAGAGAAACGCTACCGCAAGCGACACCGGTCAACTGAGAGGAGGTTGTGCCTGGGTTTGAGAGATGTGCAGTCCCCAGGTTATCCAGGGTAATCTTGGTTCAACACCGTTGGACAACTGGGAGCCTTTAGACCCCTGAAAGGCCACGGAGCACCTGCGGAACTGTCGCACCTGACACAGGTCCCTGTCATTTCTTGCCTTGGATGGTTGAGAGAGTGGGGAAGACGGACTCCATTCATGATCGCAACATCAGATGAATCCTTGACCGAGTAGCGAACCGAGAGGAATACAATTTATTGGAACGTACAGCAGAGGCAGAAAAGGAGGGCAATTACAGGAAATTCGCCTTGTCTGTTCGTCGCATTCTAACCGCGACTCAGGCCGTCATTTTTTAGTTGAGTAACGTAGCTGGGGTACGGGCCTCGATTCCAATCCACTTCTGAGGTTATTGAAGCTCTACAGTGGCGGCCAGCGTCGACCCTTTCCACGAGACCGTCAAGATAAGGAAGGGCCGGGCTGACAGGAAGCAAGGCTCAGCAACAAGACCCAGACCGCCCAATCTTTCCCACGGCCAAGACTTCCATCGAGGAGAGGCACTAGCTGATACATTTAAATGGCATCCACCCGGGACCCTGTAACTTTATTGACTACGTGTATGAATCTAGCATATCGGCAAACGACCTTCTTCTTTCCACATAGGGTAGCTTGGCATCTCGTGTTTCTGCGTCCGTGGTCCTGGCGAGGCTCGGCATCATCCGTTCAGGCCAACAAGGAATACCCGGCAGCCGTGGATTTCTCCATCCTGTTTCTTCTATTGCCAAGACTTCGCATTTCCAAGCACTGCCGGATCGAGCCGCTCAGAATTGCCATGGTCCACGGACCTGAAGCATTAGCTGGATTTACAGGTCCTTGGCGATCGAGTATCCGGACGATTGATATCCGTACGTGCCGCAGTCACCATCACGTGTCATTGAACTATGTGGTTGCGAGGAGAGCGTGATTCCATCATTGAGGCTGGAGCAACGATCCGCCATCTAGGGTGGATACCTTGCTTACGGTACCAATAAAGTTGTCTGCTGAGGAAGAAGGGAAGGCCGAAGTCAGCAATTGTCCGAGCGGAATCACCACGGGCAAAATCAGGGGGAAAACCGACCCCTGCGTTTATAGAAAGACCGAGCTAGAATGGCCCGCCACCATGAGCGGTGCCGAAATCTCGGTAGTGATTCCGAGCCGAGCGATGAGAGCTCTGACGGAGCGTCTGCTTAGCGGGTGGACCTTAACTTGAAACCGCTAGGACGGAACCATCCGCTTTGGGAACAACGCCGTGAGCCCGCGACGACGGGTTGAAGCCATGTTTTCCCACCTATACCGTGAGGTTGAGGATGCGATGAACAACGAGGCCGGATCATGTGTATAAGAAGCGTCAAGTTGACAGTCCCCCTTTCTAGATCCCAGCTCAACATCACTATTTCCTCCTCGCTTCTCACATCTCGACCGAACCCTGAGTACCTTCACTGTTCACAGCCGAAATGCAGCTCTCTACTCTGGCTGTTCTGCTCTCTGCCTCCCTCGCGGCTGGCCAAACCAACACCAACCTGCAGACCAAGTTCCCTACCGCCACCACGACCACTGGTCTTCCCGCGGCCAAAACCATTGCTGCCGGCCAGTCTTTCGATGGCAAGATGATCCAGTGGGACCGCAGCCCCTCGACCTGCAAGTCGCAGACCGAGGGCGGCGACAAGGACGCCGTCTTCATCCTCGAGGACGGCGCCACGCTGAGCAATGTCATTGTCGGCCCTAACAACGGCGAGGGCATCCACTGCAAGGGCAAGTGCACTCTGAACAACGTGTAAGTGGCACCTTTGCACACGTTGTATGGAAAAGCAGACAAGGTACTGATGATTCCTCAGCTGGTTCACCGACGTGTGCGAGGACGCCGTCACCTTCCTGCAAAAGTCGGGCACGTCGTACGTCAACGGCGGCGGCGCCCGCGGGGCCTCGGACAAGGTGCTCCAGCACAACGGCGGTGGCACCGTGGCCGTCAAGAACTTCCTGGCCAGCAACATCGGCAAGCTGTACCGCTCGTGCGGCAACTGCAAGACGCAGTATCAGCGCCACTCGACCTTTGACAACATCCGCGTCACCGACAAGTCGTCAGTCGTCGCGGGCGTCAACCAGAACTACGGCGACACCACCTCCATCAAGAACTCGTGCATCCTCAAGGGCAAGATCTGCGACCGCTTCCAGGGCAACAGCAACGGCAAGGAGCCCACCAAGCTCGGCACCGGCCCCTCAGGCACTGTCTGCGCCGTCACGGCTGTCAAGACCTCGGGCTGCTAGAGGGCGTAGCAACAATGTGAAAAGGGTGCTTGTTTCGATTGTGTGTGTGCATGACCTGGTGGCATACTCAGTGGCGGCTTCATTTCACCTTGCACATATTTGCACCGTTTGTATATACGTACCTTTTGTACTTAGACTTTGTACTGTACATAACTAGATGTGGACAGCTCTGCTTAGCTGCTCCTTAATAACGGGATTTTCCGTCTCAATCCTCCACCCCCCTCGGACTTGTTTTACGGTGTATGTGCAATTGCTTGTTAGCGGCATCCAACCTGCCATTGCCAATCCTAAGTGCTTGGCATATGGAGTACTAGGGCCCAGACTCCCCTTGTCCTCACGTTTGCCGCGCCAATGAAGTGACTGAGGTAGTGATCTCTGCCCTGGTCTCTCGAATGGCATCAATTTCTACTGCGCACCCATCACTCCTTTTGGGCCCGTCATCCTGATCTTCCAAGACCCTGGGCTTTCCAGTAGCTCTTGCTCGAGCACCAGATGTGTGTCATTTCGAACCCTGGGTCCTCAGGAACTGCGTGGGTTCCAGGAATGCTTCGAATTTCAGGAGTAGTAAAGCTCGCAACGCAGTATCTGTCTGTATTGCGATATAGAATGCTAAGGTACACTTTGTGTTCAGAACAATCAGTAAAGGTGGAAAATTTCCCTCATCACTGCAGTGCTTAGTAACCGGATCTTGGCCAAACCATCCTCATCCCATCCGCCAACCATGCCCTGTGCCCATCTTTGGTAAAGCAGATAGTTATTCGAACTTGACATATACGTCCGGAAAGCCTCGCACATTTCCTCTTGCAACCCCAAGACAAACCATCCGTCCCACCTTTGTCCGTGTAATACCGCAGCTCAACTCGCTTTAAACTAGGGTACTTTTCCTCCGCACAATATCCCGCCAAGACCCTCATCAGGTCCATCGCCTTCATCGCCGGGCGCCTCATCAACACTCCTCCCGCATCTTGGCCCTCACATGCCATGTCCTGAGCCCTGCTGTCATACGGATCCTCACAACCTCCAACCGCTCCAACTTCCGTGATAAACAGACCGTCACCTTCTCGCACCAGGCAGTTACCCCACAATCCCGACTGGAATCAACCCTCCTGTCGACAGGCAATGACAGTCTCTCTTCCCGCACGTCGTGTCCCGTATCCTGTGTATGTAGACTATCAAACCCCAGGGCCCGGTCTATTAACACACCGCCAAACAGCGCAAATGCCGGCAGACACAGCGCCCTAATTTCGGTCAGATCCCTCGGGTTCGAAGCATCTTGAACGAGGAGAAGACTCGTTGCAACATGGGGTTGATGGGGAGATAGTTCTTGATGCGCAGGGTGCGGAGGGTGGTGAAGAAGGTGTAGAGGTCGATTTCTTCATTTGAGGTGTCGTCGCGTCTAGATCGTCGTCATTATCGCCGGAGGTAGAATCGTGGTCAGGATTCGGAGAGGGCGTAGAGTTGGTTCGTCGAGAGGACGCGAGGCTGTTGTCGACTTCGGGTTCCTCTACCTCGGGCAGGTCGATAAGTGGCCAGAGTGTGAGTGAATGCCATATGCTGGACAAGACAGGGTTTCGTGGGCTGAGCTGTGGATGGTCATGCGAAGCGTTGCGAGGTTGCGGAGGTGGCCGAGGAACGATAGGAAGACAGCCTGACGGAGGCGGACGCTGAGTGCTGGGTGGTAGCGCCGGTCGTCGAGTTCTTGCACCATATGCTCTTTGATCTAATGAGGAAGCCGAGGCTGACGAGGCCTATGTCCAGGTATGCGATATGCCGGATAGTAATGCAATGTCCTGGCTAAGTCTTTCCACTGATATAGGTTGGCCCAAGTCAAGGTGGCAGCAGGGCTGCTCTCAGATCAATCAGTTCAGTCAGACCCTCCTGATCTGATCTGACTGGTTCAGCGACCCCC